GCGGCAGCTCCTATTTTTTCTTTGTATCATGTTCTCTCTTACACCACACGTTCCAGAGATTTGTACCATTTGGATTGCTTCTTATATCCGTTCTTTTCATGTTTGTAGAGAAAAAATAATCCAGGCAGGGATTATGAACTTGAAGGAGAGGTGAGCAGTTGAGGATTTGGAATAAAAAAATGTCCCAAAGGAAATAGGCTGCGAGTGTAAAAAGCAGGGTTAAAGAAAAATATCCCTGTGAGTTGTATAGCATTTCTTTTCTTTTCCCTTCAATGCAGGTCTCAGAGTGCCGGTCGTTTGTCTGACATGCTGCTGATGGCAGCGTTTGGAGCAGGTGGAGCTGTTGGTGAACGTGGCAGCACAGAGAACCTGATGCCTGAAAAAGCCATAGAAATTACAGGTAGGCAGGACTGAGTGCGCATATACATATGTATAAGATACAATAATAGGAATTCCTCCTTGGGAAGACTGTATTGTTGTATTATTATATAATACAATATGTATTATGTATTGTATTATTCCATTATTAAGAATCTAATGGAATCTTGATTTTATTTCTCTTCCAGTGCCCCCCAGTGTTGGGGTAGGACATGTGCCTGCATCCAGCAGCCCTGCACAGGTGGTGTTCACTGTGGGTTCTCCTCCTACCCCACCTCACTCCTCCAGACAGAGGAAGTACTCAGGTTAGACACAGCTGCACACATGTTTTGTTGATTCATTTCATAGTCATGTCAACATTAGAGTGTTGGTTTCTTTGTCAGTCATATAACAGGAAGTTTTGCCCTGTCTGTTCCTCCAGGCTCCTTTGTGTCAGTCAGCCCTGCGGGCTCCTACAACAGTCCGTACGCTCAGGCAGGTGCCTACCTGGAGGGCTTCGAGGCTCCTCCTAGTCCACGTTACAGCTTCACAGCCAACATGGGGGGCCCTGTGACCTTTGAGGCTCCTGAACTGCCTGAGGAGACGCTGATGGAGGTGAGACATGGGAATCTTCCCTGAGGTCAAGATTTTTTCAAAGTGTAGCATTGAAATACAAAAAAGCAACTCCTAATCTTTGTCTTCCGCTGTCTCTGGAGTACAGCAGGAGCACACAGACACAGTGCAGAGTCTGCGCTTCACGTTGGACTTTTCCCGCTGTCTGATGGAGGTGGCTGGTGCCCGTGGGGCTGCATTAGTGGGGGAGCAGGTGGAAGCTGCTCCTCCCTTCCTCCTGCAACAACAGCAGAGTCTGGTGGCAGATCAGATCAGTTCACTGAGCCGAGAGTGGAGGTAAGGATGCATCAAGAATGACACTGATGCCATGACACTGTTTGTCTGCTAGGAATTGGGAAGACTGTGACGTGCAGACTGGGATAATTGTTAAACATTGTTTTTAACCCTGGATTATAGCAACAAAAAAACCCAGTTTGTTCATTGACATGTGTCACCCAGGTAACATAAGTTCTGTTTGTAACTGTGGTCTCAGTGATGCAGAACAGCTGGTCCTCTACCTGAAGATTGCAGAACTCCTGTCCACTGCCTTACACACAGCCATGGAACGGGTCAAACAGGGCAAACTCTATCCCTCTACCACAGTCAAACAAGGTACGACCGGCGCCATCTGTTCAAACAAAAAAAAAACCCTCTCGGTGTCTCAGTACTTTCAGACCTTGTAACCTGCTAACACCCCTGTGTACAGTGCTAAGGATGCTGAATGAACTGTACAAGTCCAGTGTGACCTCCTGTCGCTCACTCAACACTCGCCTGGAGCGCTTCTTCTCCAGGAAGCATCGTCTGATGGACCAGATCAGCTCCATCACTGCAGAGAGGCTGCTCTTCAACCACACTGTGCAAATGGTAAGAAATTAGAAAATGGTGGAGAAAAGAAAGCGGGCTGAAGGATCGAACCTTAGCTCTGGGGTTGTCTGCAGTCAAACAAAGTAGATCGCAAATCTAATCCGGATTGTTGAAAAAATATTTGAATTGTGTAGCACTCCCTTTTATAGGTAGGACTATGGTCAAGCATAACACATTCAAAACACCAAGGAACTATTATATGAAAAACTGGTTTTCTTATGAAACTGTTACTGTGATTGAACAAAGAAAATAAAATGACACGGCAGTGGAATTTTCCAACGATAGCACTTTTTGTTTTAATTGAATAAAAATTATTTGCCTTGCAGCTCCTCCTTAGTTCTACTCCCCTAAGGAGGAGCTGTCCCCCACATTGGGAACCATTGACCTAGACTGAAGTGGTGACCATATGTGTTTTACTTGTCTACAAGAAATATATTGAGTTAAGATTCAGATTCAGAGGTTTAAATGCCGTATTTCCAGTGAAGGCACAGGTTTGACTGCATTCAGGAATTTTGCAAAAACAATTGAAGAACACAAATATGTTTTATGCAAATTTTGGGTAATTGTTATATCAACAGTCCAAAAGAAATACAAATATGTGACAGTATTTTTTGTTTAGAGTAACCCTGGTATTGCATACTAAAAACATATTGTAGTATTTTACAATATGGGGGCAGTATTTCCTAGGCATGCTTTGTATTTGTTAGAGATGTTAAGTAATCAATTAAATTAAAAATATTCATCTTTTTACTGCCCTCTGAGCATCTTCCTGCTGTTTCAGGTTCAGACTGCTGCGCTGGATGAGATGTTCCACCAGGGGGAAGCATCACTCCTGCGTTACCACAAAGCCCTGCTGCTGATGGAGGGTTTGTCTCTGCTGCTCACTGAGAAGGACGACCTGCTCAGTGTCAGCAAATGTGAGCATGTTTTCTCCAATCATGTTAATATTTATTTGGTCTTGTAATGTCCTCATTCATTCATTTATCACTGTGTAGGTTTTTTCAAAGAAATCACAGGGCAGATTAAAACCAAGGGGCAAACTCAGTGAATGCTGACTTGACTTTTTTTATCCTTCACTGAACTCTGACCTTTACTGTGTCTGCAGGTAAGGAGTGCATTGAACGACGGCTCACAGCTTTGCAGTCCGGACTCTGTGTTTGAGCGTCCGTGTCTCACAGAGTGGATACGATGAGGTGCTCATTCATCCCACCAACCACATTAACGTTGTTTCAACTTAGAGATTAGCCTGCGTTCTCACAGGAATCCCACGAAAAACCACAGGTTTTACTGAACCCACAAAGTTTGTGCTTTTCAGGTTTGTGGTCGAGCGGCACTGATTTTGCTAACACTAAACACGCTATGGGATGGTGCTGGTCATGAAGCATGACAGCGCTCACGTGTCCATTCTCCTGTCCACATGTAAGAGGAGTTGGCTCCTGGCCACTGAGAATGGTACATCATGCTACAGGAGTCATCATTAGAGAGCCTTACTCACACAGAACCTGCTGTTTAACCAAGCAGTGCCCGAATAGAAGCTGAAAAAAAACCCACCCACCCTGCAATAGACAAATCTATGGACAGACGTTAGAATCGGTAGCTGGAGAGACGAGGAGAATTTGTCTGCTGTTCATCTATACAGTATATGAACATTTGTTAATGAAGTCCTGGAAAGTTGACGCGTCGTTATCACCTTTATATTGTTGTCTTTTCCCTTTTATTTGCATCAATGGGTCAATTTTTTCTGATTCTAACTTTATTTTAATTTGTATCGTAGACGTTGTGTAAGAAATGGACGAGTTTGAGTTGTTGCAGAGAAAAAAAATAGAAGTGCTCTTCTGCTTTTGGAAGTAAAACCGCATTTATGGAGATCTACTTATTTCCCTTTTAGTATTTATAGTGACGTTTAAATGCCAGTGACTAGTTTTAGGTTCTCTTCAGAAAAACATGATTTAATTGTTTCTGTTATGTGTGCACACTAAATGATGAAGACTCAAAACAACAAATTTTAAAAAAGTCTAGGGAATGTGAACAGATTCCAGGCTTAAAAATTAATATTTAATATTAATATAAATTTTTAAGATACCGTATTTCAAATACATATGTTCACATCATACATATGTATTTTTTTTTTTTTATATTAACCTTGACGATGTTGTAAAACCTCCTTTCAGTGGATAGGTCTCTGTCAACTACTCCACTCCATCTACATCAGCAGCTGCTGCTTCAAATGTCCACTCTGTTTTAAAACACTAATTCCAACAGGAATATAAAGTTAGTGGAAAAATAAAATATACAAAAATTTGCTTTGATGACCTCCACACCATAGCTGTGCGCCTCCCACTTTGGAGACCACTGAATGTCACAATGTGGTGGTCTTATGTCGGTGGGCTAGCTCCAAATCAAATACAGTATCAAGTAGAGTGTTTTTCTCTAACTTGGGTTTGGAGTGCGTTTACAATCATCAATTGCCCACTGCTGCCCTTGGTAATGGGTTAAAAGCAGAGGCTCAGTTTCATTGTATGCCCGTGGTACAATGACAATGCAGACCATAAAATAAATTAAATAAATTATCACGATAAACAATTAAATTCAAAACTCCATGGAAATTGAATTTAGTTTGATTTGTCTCGATGGGATATGAATTAACCAAACATATTTATTGTAGAAGATCTGAAACAGTGTTGACATATTTATGAATCTCCTGAGATGTATCCTGATTTCTTTTATAATTTATTCCCATTATGTTGCTTCCAAAACCAGTGAACATGTCTGGTCATTTCTGCTGCAGCTCCTCTGACACCCACATCCACTTTCTTTTGTACCTTCTGTGCTTGTTATTTGCTTGCTTAAAGAATGCACATATGGAGAAGTGATACTTTGAGGAAGAAGTGCAGACAGGCACTGTCAAACAACCTTTGCCAAAATGACTTTTTTTGCTTTTGCAGTATGTTTTATCTGAGTTTTACTGTGGTATTTGTGACGGTGTGGAAGAGAAATGTCCTTTGTTTGACACTTTACCAAGTTCTTTACTTGCTAGATTTTAAAGAAGACCAAGTCCAGATGGATTTAAGTGGCAGGTAGAAAATTCGCCCTCCACTCAGCTGAGCTCATCATGTTGACAGAAGCTTACGTTGATTCATTGTCATCTGTCTTTTTCTATGTTTTTTGTCTCAGCAGCGCTGGTTGTGTGTGTGTGCGTGCGTGTGTGTGTGCAGCACACTTTGAATGTAAACCCGCCAGGAGACAGAGACTCATCAAATATCATCCGAATGTTAGAGAACTATGGTCTCGTCTGATCCCATGTCAATGGTCCAAATATTTTTGCACTGTTAATGTACTGTATAGAATGGTTTTCAGAGTGAAACTACATAATTTATAGTAATACCTAGACAGATGGGCTGATTTAGAGAGATTTAGTGCAGTTTTAGTTGAGTGTACTCATCACTATCTGAGGGTACTGTGTGTGTTTGTGTGTGTGTTAGATGAGCTTGAGTGACAACAAAGAGATGGTATAAGCTACAAAACCTTGAAAGGATTTTCTTTCAGGGAAAATAAAGGAAGAAAATGTGCTTTACACTGAAAAAAGATCTGATTTGTGTTGGTTATATGTTTTATTTCAGATCAGTCAGTAGCTGACGATTGTGTTGGACTTAAAAAAAGTGTTTTGTTGATTTGGAGTGCAGTTGTTGATGTATTCACCTTTAACCTTTGCTAGATGATGGGCCAACACAGGAGAGTGATCTTGTGTGTGCATGCCTGCGTGCGTGTGGCAGTGTTGCCAGATGTATTAACATGCTACAGGAAAGAGCCGATGATGTCCCTCTTTTAATGAGGTTTGAATGGTTTAGGACTACATGTGGTGTTAGACTCTGGGTACGATCACAGTTCTACATGATTGAAACTGAAGCTTATGAAAATCCAATGTTTCTTTCTTTTCAGTTCAATGTTGTTATTTTAGAATTCAAGGTTTTTGAAATCTGAGATCCTTCACCCTCCATTATCTGTCAGCCCACAATAATGGAGGGTGAAGGAGGTGGTTTTGAACCTTTGTGTGTTTTTTGTATGTGTGCACATTCCTTTAATCATGTTAACCACAGGGCACGTGACATGTGTAAGAAATGGACAAACCTCCAATGAATTTGTAGTCAACCCCTCCAAAAAAATGGGTTTGAACTGAGGAAAATTGGGCAATTTATATGGGGCATTATAAATTCAGTGATTTGTGTCATGAAAGGTTCATAGTGTTGGTCAATTTTGTCAGTTATTCTTTAAAGCAGGGGTTCTCAACCACTGGTCTGCGGACCGCTAACAGTCTCAGGGACATTTGGTAGTGGTCCACAGTGAAAGAATTGATCATTTTCTTCACTTAGACACAACAAAGGTATAACAAGGGCTGAGGGGCACTGCTACAAAGTTACTCAGATTGTTAAATAACCCAGGAAATTACATTACGCTTTGTAATGTTTCAGCCTGCAATCAGGCAGTTAACGCATGGTTATGATGTGCTCGTCATTTAGGACCTGACAAAAATTTAAATGTGTTTCAGGTTTGGTTCCGTGACCTTTCCTGGGCTTTCTGTTTGAATGTAAACACATTAATCCAGGAGAATATATAAAACATACAACTCTGGCATTATGCTAACAGAAGAACTGCAGTTAGCAACTAAACATGCTTAAAAATGACTGAGATATTGCCTTATATTTTATCCTAGTTTCTTCACCCAGTATTTCATCATCCAACCACAGTTTTTACCCAGGAGGCTTTGTCCATTTCTTACATACAGTCTACGATCTCTACACATGCTGTTCTGTCCAGTTTGGTGACAATGAAACAGGTAGCAGAACTTTTTTGACACTTTCTGACACGTGCTATCATTTCTCTACAATCAGCGCTGCGTCGGTCACCGTCGTCCTCACGTTCATTATCCGATTCAGAAGCGAGACGACAGTCTGTGCAGCAAATGACAAATTCAAAGGTTGTTTCAGGGAGATAAGCAGCTCTCTGTTCTGCTCAAGTGTCCCTCGGGTTGTTTGTCAAAACTATCACGTAAAGGTCAACAGAAGTGGAACCGGAACGGAGATCTGAGTTGGCTTTGGCTGTGTGCAATCCTGCAGTTCACTTGTCGCTGAGAATGTACCTAATGTTCACTTTTCTGTTTTAGTTTGAGTAAATATTGTAAATTAACTTATTGTCCTGATTGTACATATGCGACGCAGCGGGTGTTGAAAGAGACTGGTGGAATCATAGCACCTGCACATTTCCAAAGAGAGCGCCCTCTGCTGATCTTCACTGTCCTTTCCTGTCACTCATGCAGTTTCATGCTGTTTTCACAACAGACACAGACTATGTTAGTGTCGCTATGTGATGTAACCTTTACTGTCTGCAAATTACAACATGAATAAAGTGGAGGACAGGTGGCTTGTCTTTGAAACGCTGTGAGTTTCATCTGTTGTGTTTTACATAGGTATCAATACTATGTGTAATATGCAGCATGCATGCATTTTTGTGGATATCTATTTCATTATCAATTGAAATTGTTTTGAAGGGGTCAGTGAATGAGGAGTAAAGAGATAAACTGCTCTATTCTTTCTCTATTTTTCTTTGTGTACACATGTTCTGTAATCTTTTCATTTACTATAAGACAGACTATTTTTTTAAAAGTAACTAAAGATGCCCTAATAATTAGAATAATGTGGCATTTCCCATGTATTTAAAAAAATCTTTTGGGGACAAGAATCTTTAAAAGGAAACGTTTTTGGGATTTTGCCATTTTAAAATAAAATAGCAAAGAAATATTTCACAAAAGACAACATTTTCCCACATGTGAGCTGATTTTTGACACGCAAATCTGGCAACCACACAGATCAGTGCAGGTATCTTGTGATTCGGTGACGATGGTTTCCATGACGACGTTGCGTAAGCGTAAACGCTTGTCAAACATCAAAGTCATTTTACGCGTTTTAAGACGTTTACAAAACAAATATTCAGTCAACCAAGTTAGCAGGAAGTCCTCGGAAATGAATGGCATGTATTTCGTCACCGTAGTGTGTTTACACTGGCAAAAATTAGTTAGCTGATGTTGCTAAGTTTGGGTGCTAACATAGTTAGCAGCAGTGGGTTCAGAAGACACGAAAGAAGCGGGGCAGCAGAGATGTCCAGTCCCAGTCTCCCTCCTCTCAGCCACCTTCCTCGATGGACGCGTGTCGGTCGTCTGAGAAAACCTTTGTCTCCACGATCTTTACCGTCCAAGCAGCAGTTTCCTCCTCCTCTACCTCCGCCTCTTCCTCCCCCTGCTCCTCTTACTTCTATCCCTCTGAACCAAACAGCGGTCAAAGGTGAGGACAGAGCAGCCGAGGCTCAGCACCTGTGTCCGGATACAGAGTGTGAGCCACGCGTCGCTTCCCTGCAGAGAAACATCCAGTTCCTGCAGCAGCAGCACCAGGACACTCTGCAGAGGCTTCATGCGGAGATAGAGCACCTGAGACGGCAGAACAAAGGTAAGCAGTGCCGTGGTGTAACAACAATGAACTGTAGTAAACTTGGGTGTTTCACTAACATTGGGTTCAGTGTAGATTTTTCATAACACGTGAAGATAATGTAAAAACAATAAATTATTATTCTCATATAATTATTCTATAAAGAAATTATTAACTTCTATTTAAAAGTAAGTGTTTAGTTGGTACCAGCAAAAACAAATTGTATTAACTGCACACCATTGTTTTTCTCATTAGTGATTGTGCATTGGACAAAAACAGAGAGACAGTAAAGTTTTAGGGAGAGTTAAAACAATGCTACAAAATGAGAACTTGTTTTCTTCTATTTTCTTTTTTCTTTAATTTTCAAGAGAACCCATTCATTTTGCGGGCTTACGTACACGTTAGCTTCCTGTGCGTTCAAAGAGTCGCTCATTAGGAGTGTAGTTTTTAACCAGAGAATTGTAGGGTCTTTTTCTGACTTGATAATTTACTGTATCTGTCGCCCCCTTTGGCAGCTTTACTGTCATAGTCAATGGTTAAAAAAACGTCTATCTTTGCTCCGTACCCTGTTGACTTCAGTTCGTCACCCCTACAAACGAAATAAGATCTGTGTGGACCAGCTAGTTAACTGTAGGGTTTAGCCCAGGGGTGGACTAAATATTTGCCTCACGGGCCAAAATGACTTTAAAACTATGTCCAGTGGGCCGGTTCATTATTGGTTGGATGTAGAATGTTTGGTGAATGTACAAGATTAAACTTAAAACTGGCACATTTGATGTCTGCCACCATTTAGTAGCATCATCTGAAATTACAATGGACTTGTCTTAGTGCGTGAAACAAAAGGGTCAAAACTTCAGTCTGTACTAGGCCTTGTACCGGTGTCTGGAGTGCCGTATCTGGCCCACGGGCCTTAGTTTGCTCTTGTCTTGTTTAGCCATTCTGTACTAACTCCATGTTGTTCCCATAGTTAAATAATGTGTGTGCATCAAATATTTGCATCCTAAATTGTCCGTGCAGGTAAGTATGACGTGTGTACAGGACCCCTATATTAATTACACAGGATGTGATGCCAGTGTTGTGTGTGTGTGTGTGGGCCAGATGTCGACCACTTACCAGTTGAGGAGTAGTTTTCTGGGGTCTCATCAAATGTCCGTCTGTTTGTAACCTGTAACTAACCACCATGAAAGAAGATATGACATTTGATCCAGTTTCAGGGGTCCTGTGGTGTCTCTGTGGTTTTCGGGTGTTCTCAGTGGGACACGTATCTTTCTGTCT